ATCATCCGATTTGCAAATCTGCTCGCAACGCGACGATCGATCCTCTGGATTCCGTTCGGAAAGTAAATATCGTGAATCTCCCATAAATCTCAATATCATTCATCAATTTCTTCAAGAAAGGGAAGCATTTTTTTTTTTTCGATTCAGCCGCATAAATTGCACGCGGATTCCGCGGAAATCGGCATCCTTTGCGCGGCGCGTTGTTAAAGATCGGAAATTTCGGCCCTCGGAATAACGTGGGGCTGTATGTGGAAATGACAGCCGGCTCGGCTCGGTCGCCCCTGTCATGTCGCGTGGAGGGGGGTAAGAGGGGGAAAGGCAGGGGTGGAAATGGGAGGGTGGCGCGCGCGGGAATCCTGGCCACCCTCTTCCCCGTCGCCTGGGCTGCATATATCGACCCACCGACGGCGGAGCGGAGCGTGCACGACCCCTGACTCGCGCACACATGAAGAAGAGAGAGAGGGAGAGACTCCTTAACCCTCATCCGCGCGTTGTTCGCGAGGCTGAATTTTGACGGACTGGATTTATCGAGAGATATCGCTCGTTGACGATCGCTCTTCGATCATTCTTGCCGCGATGGATAATAAGCGATTGCTCAATGACGCGTAATATGATGAATATCACAAGAGATGTAGAAATCTTGAGGGAGAAGGCGATATATGCGTGTTCTTCGAATCAGGGATTCTCGAAAACTATAGGCAGGAAACGAAAAATAAGTCTAGCTTGGATAGAGGAGAAGAGATTTTCTGTGTTCTTCTTTAATTATGAACTTCTTCGTTATGCGTAGCGAAGAGAAGAAAAAAAAGATATTTTGCAAAATCCAATTGTCTTGTCTTGAGTTGTTTCGAGTGTGGATACACAATCGATTCTCTTTCAATGGATTCCTCGGTGGTTTTACAACGCCGCGTTGTGCAATATTGGGGTGTCGTAAAATGATCCCACCGAAATTAGGTACATCTGTAATAGTGTGCGAGTTGCACCAGTCGCGCGCGCATCGAACGAAAAAAAGGAAAGAAAAAAGCGGAAGTTGCAAAGCGAGATTCCCGCTGATCGCGGCGTAATCAGAGTCGACTCAGGGAAAGAGGAGTCTCGCGATAATCCCGACCCCGGTAATTCGCCCCGCCAACGAGGGAGGGAAGAGGGCAGAAGGCGAACAAGAAAAGTCGGAGGTGTCAAATTTTTACGAGCACCTGTTCACCATTTTCCCTCCTTGTAAAAAGAAAGAGAGAGAGAGAGAGAAAGACTGGGCCCCGCATCGTGTCAGGTAGACACGCAGGGCTCGTAGGGCCCCGTGTTATAGGTACCCTATCGACCTGGAAACCTGTTCTTCCTTCTCTCTTCCAACCCCTTCCTCCTCATTCGCCCCGCTGTTCACCCTGCTCTTCACTCTGCTGCTGGCGGCGGGAGCGATGGAAATGAAAAATTAGGCCGTTGTCGGGACCTCGCCTCCTTCGGAACGCGTCTCCTCTCCTCCGTCGACTTTTTCGTCATCACCATTTATTTATCGCACGCCGACACGTACGTACGGGGTGTTTGTAAAACACGCGGACCAGATTTCTGACGGCGCGCGATCCAGCGGTATAGTAGTCGCGAGATAAGTTCCTACGAGCTTACGTCAGATGGTGCACGTCTTATCGAGATGGGTTACGAGTAGCTTTGTTTTCAATCGCTTATCAATTTTTGAAAATCCTTTTCCATTCAGGAAAAATCGACTTCAAACTGATGTCGAAGATCCCCAGCTCCGAGATTCGCACGTAAAAAGGATGATTTGCATTTCGAAGAAGAATCTTTTCTCTCCACAAGCCCGAAGAATAAGGAACATCATCTTATCCCATCGATGCGCATTTTCATACTAATGATCTATTCATACCCGCACCTAGAAAGAACATCGATAATTCTGAATCATCCGCAGCTTGAACGTGCATCTTGTACATCATGAAGTTTAAAAGAGACCGAGTCGGAATCTTTACTTCTAATTTACGGATATTCTATTTATCTAGCGATGTACATGTAGAAAGAGAGTAGGACGACATGAAAAGAACGAGACGGTCGATCATATAAAACTATGTTCTTCACTGGAGCAACAATGATCAATTTTTTAAGAAACAACATGGAACATCAATAAAAAGTTGCTCATTGTTGCTCTAGTGAGGACGCAGCTTATGAAACTTTCGGCAACAACTTTTTTCAAAAGGGTGCTCGTTGTTGCTCGAGTGAAGACGCAACTCTCACTGGAGCAACAACGAGCAACTTTTTTAAGAAACATGGAATATCAACGAAAAGTTGCTAGTTGTTGCTGAAACTTTTATAAGCTGCGAGTTCTTCATTGGAGTAATGAACAACTTTTTGAAGAAACATGGAACATCAACAAAAAGTTGCTCGTTGTTGCTCCAGTAAAGACGCAGCTTGAAACTTTCAGCAACTTTTGAAGAAACATGAACAAAAAGTTGATCACTGCTGCTCCAGTGAGGACATAGCTTAATGATTCGCACTATCGGCGAGTGCCACGCCACGTGTATTTCTCCGTGAATGTATGCCTGCGGATTGACAGGTTATTGGCGGTTAGTCGTTAGTCTCTGCAGCGAAGCAGGCGATCGAGGGCGAGTGTGTATGCGATTCTCCGCGTAAGCCGTTTATGCGTAAGCGCGTGCGTGCACGCATGACCGAGCGCACGCGAGGGCGCGTCAAGGATCGCGATTAACTCCGTACTTGTAACTTGTGACTGTATAATTCTCTCGCCGCGCCGCTAGAGCTATTTTTCTTATGAAAATGGCTCCGCGCGTTATATTCATTACGTTCCCGCTAATGCGGCCGGTTATGTCGGTTACGTTGCGCGATGTAACACGAGGCGTTGCCGGAAATTAATCTTTGGCGACGCCAAACTTTGCGATGTGATAATAAATACAATTGTCTATATTACATCTCGCGTTGGTGTATCAGCGCACTCTTGTCTAATAAACTATTCCTATGTAGGTAGAAGTTTATTAATTGGAATCGATATACGTTGATGAGAGATGTTGTGCAAACGATGCGATCCAATCATGTTTTGTAGGTTAATGTAAATTCTATACAATTATAGATTTATGGAGATCTTTCTTCTTTAAAGATTGATTTTAATCAACCGTTTACATTAAATTAAATAAAATGTACGCCTTTTTTTATATTTGTGTTTATATTGTATAATTTGATTTTCTTAACATTTACAATTAATCTAGCATTAAGAGGATCAAATTAAATGTAAAAGTAGAAATATTAAAAATTTATACACAAATCCAGGTAGGAAACAAGCTAAAAGAGCCAAGCGTAGAAACGCAATAGATTTATTTTAAAATTCTTCTCTATATGTATAATTCGTTTATTTAACAAGTTACATAAAGAATTTAAAAACGCTCGTCTGCTGCGTTTATATGTATGTCAGTCTCTCCTTTTTATTAAAAATTTATGTAGCGTTGAAACTGACGAAGAATTTTTTAAAGATTGATCCCTTTTTCATAGACCGATCCGAGCAGTTTCCACTTTCGAGATACTCCGCGAACATAAAAACGCTCGTTTACTATAATAACCGCAAAACCAAAAGACTTGCGCGGAGAATATGAAACTGGCGATTTCAAGCCCGGATGTATCGATCTAGGATGATTGCCGCGCAATACACCCTTAGGCGCGTCGCACCCTGTATATCTCTAAGAGACTACATTATGCTTGCCGACCTGTTGCTACCCTTTCCTACCTCGCACCCTTCTACTGTTCCTTCCGACCTAATCCACCCGCCGCTACGAAACGGAATCCCTTCTCTTCTCTTCTCTTCTCTTCTTTCCTCCGTCTTCCACCTCATGTGCGCTTTCTCATGTTAGTTCGGCTCATTGAAACCACTCTATATCCTTCATTTTGGATTCTTCGTTTTTTTCCTACATACCTCTTCTCTTTCTCCGTTTCTTCTATTTCAATCTCGATCTTCATCCACTGCCTCTTCTCATCCTTTCTCGATCCCTTTTTCAAGCTCTTCGATTTTTTCTTTACGCGAAAGAGATTCTTTCGAAACACTACGATATCGATATACCTTGACGAGATGGCATCGATATTTTTAACTCGATAGTTAAAAAGTACGAGTAACTTCTCGCCTTGTATTGTGCGGCCGATATGTTATTTTCTACCGCAGACCTTAACGAGGATTTATAGGCACGAACGTCTGCTACGCGAGTATCTACGGGGTGTCCGAGAACGACTAATCATAGCACTAATGACGGACTCTTTGTAGCCGACTTGTAGCCGATGTATTATCTTTTTCCTTCTTCAATCGTCAAACGTCAAAACAAGAATGATCCTTTCTCCGAAAGTTCTTTCAACAAACCGATCTTATGTTTTTCGATTAAGATTCATATAGGATTTTCCTTTTCGAAGATCCAGAATATTGTCCAACTGTCATAGAATATTTAAATGTCGATAGCATGAAAATATACTCGAATAACAATGCGAAAATCTCCCTCTCACGAAGATCTGTGAAGTTGACACCCCAAAATGCGAATTTTTATAAAATTGATGTGATATATTCGATTGTCTACAATTTGTCCACATACATTGCCGTTTTTTGTTCACCAGACAACAAAAAAATTAGAAATAAACAAGGAATACATTTTATCATGAGCACCCCTAGATGCGTTTTTAAAAAAACTATATATGTATTTCGATTGTCCACATTTGACCATAAATAATTGTCTCTTGTCCACTTGAATGCAAATAAAAATTAAAAAACAAACAAAAAAGTCAACGATCAATTTCATTATAAGCATTCCTAAGTGTAAGCGCGATTATTTAAAAATGATAAATGGGGGTGCATCAATTGTGTAAAAATTCGCATTTCGGGGTGCCGACTTCACAGACGTCTCTCTTCCAGTCGACGAGAGTGAACCCGATTGAAATTAAGATCGCTCTTACTCGTCGCTCGCTCTCGCCCGAAATTGAGATTAATGCCGTGCATTTTTTTCTCGATTCTCCGATTGCAGCCTCGGGAGGGGGTGGTTCGATGTTGGTCCCTCCCGTGGCCCAAGGTGGGACCGGCGATCGTCCCGTGGGGGACCCGGTGGCACGGGCGCAGCAGACGACCGGCACCGCCGCCGCAACGACGACCCTATGGCCTTTAGCACCTGCGCAGCCCAATCAGGTTCCCAATCAACAGGCCCAGGGCATACCATCCCTGGCCGCCACGCCTGCGCCCGCTCACAATCAAGGTGAGCATTACGTTATTTGTACGTGTGGAAATGTATCGATTATTATTATTATCTCACGCCGGCCTAACTCTTCCAGATTATATACATATATGAACTCCGATCTTGAATATATTCATCTCTCGAAAATTGTGGAAAGTCAAGCCTGTGCGTTTCTCGCTTATGTAAGATGTATCCTTAGTTTTCATATTAATTCTTTCCTCGATATTTTGTGTTAAGGTCCTTGCACAATGCCAGGCAACAGACAATAGGAATAGGAAGTAGAAAATATCAATCACGCAATCGGAAAAGGGATTAGATGTTATTCCCTGCTCCCTTGATGGGTATTTTCTATTCCATGTTGCCTGGCATTGTGCGAGAACCTTGAAACATTCATGAAAAAGCAAAGAAAACTTAAAACCTAATTTAATCTTGATGAAGAACTGTACTTGTCAGATTTTTTACGGCATATCCGGTACATCTGTTATGTAATATTCTACTATTGATCGGAGGTCGTTCACGCTTGACATGTAATACGCTTATCGCGCATTATCAACTGGATAACTCGAATTTGAGTTATACGTTAGAATGTCTATACGCCGAAATAGCTCAGTTGGGAGAGCGTTAGACTGAAGATCTAAATGTCCCCGGTTCAATCCCGGGTTTCGGCAAAACTTTTTTTTCATCTTCGATGTAATATTCTTTGTTTTCATTCAGAAGAACGTCAGAGAGATTGGAATACGATATGATCTTCTTTTATTTATCGAGTTTCGAAATGGAACAAATATTTATTCTCTTTGCCTCATTAAATTAACGTTTACATTTAGTGCAACCATTAGCTGTGTTCCGTAACATCTAACATTATACATATATTATACCTGACCTAAGTCAATATTTTACACATGCCCAGATGATTGATTACTATCCATTGAAAAACTGAACAAAACATGCCTCATTATTATTAACGTTTTTATGCAATTGTGTAAATAATGAGTTGCTTATTTTTCCCAAATAAGTCTATCTTCGAAACATTATGAAATTTGATGAGGTACGAATTTTATGCTAATAAGTATCGCTTTTAATAATGTTATGATAATTCTTGTACATATATTATATATATATTACCATTGGCAAGTATTTTGAAATCATCGTAGTGATTTGTTCGAAGACATATATAAAGATGAAATTCTGATTACACATTTGCACTCGACGATAAGAAGATACGCCGAAGAAATAGTGTGTTACATCCGATATAAAGATTACACATACCCCAGTATGATTGATCGATACGTAAGACTTGCGGTTTGAATCGATGTAAAACAAAGCGTTAAAAATAGATATAAAAAGCTAGGCCGGCATGTCATACTTTTGTCTGGCACGTGTTGAGTCAGAAATACACATATTACGGAAAGAAAAGTGAAATATCAAATCTTTATTCTATAATAATCAGTTACGCATCCGCAAGAACGATCCACTTTTTTTCACGATATATTTCAGACAAATGTCATTGTTAATGCCGGATCTATATTCATATATGTACACGATTTGAATGCGTATCTCGAAAATACAGCGTTCGCGAGCCTCGCTCGATCGTTAAGTTGAGCTAAGCGTTTCCTCGATCGCGTGTCGTTGACTTATTTGACCTGGATTAATTATAAACTCCCCGACATCTTAACGATGTTACAGGTGCGAACCGCTACGGACTGTACTCGTTATTCCCAGGGGGTGGCGGGGGCAGTTACGTCGCCGCCACTCCTGCCACCCCCGGGCAACCGACGCCAGCACGAGCTTATCACGCGACGACGCACAAGGGTAAGTTTACAACGACTTCCTCTCGCCGATTCCTTTTCTTTCAAGGCCAAGTAATCATTTAAACAGCAATAGTTCTCGCCGCGCAAACGCAAGAATCTTTCCGATCCGATCGTGCGTTTGGGGATGACGTTAAGAATTACATCTCGCAAATTACAATTTAATTGAGAATCTTAGACGTTGACCTCTGTCAATTTTCAGACATGTATTCAGATATTGACGATATTTTTATCATTCATCTTATATACAGAGAAGATAACACAAGAAGAAGATAACGCATGAAGCTATAATCGAGAAGATATATAATATGTCTTTTCTTGATTATAATGTGTTATCTGTATATAAGATCGTTAAAAACATCGTCAATATCTGCAAAGTAGACCTCGATAAAGGATCGAAGAACGTTTGACGCTCGAAGGAGGATTAGGAATCACTTTTAGATCGAACTTGGCGCGATTTTTCCAACCGTGTCTCGGTGACGAGACTTTTGGCTCGAGCCTCCCTCGGATAATTGAAATCTCGCCGGAGATTTTATTTTCGACAGGACTTCGAGAGGAAGGTGGGGACTCGACCCTTCGAAGTGTCCCTCGCGTGTCGTCTCGTTTTCTTTTTCTTCCGAATCTGCTGCCGGGTCTTTCCACCACCACCGCCGTCGTCGTTTTACGGAGCCGCGTTTTGGGTTACACCTCGGACAATGAGGTTGTTAGGAACTGTGAGGAGATGCCGAGACGGTCTACAGTCTACAAACTGGACACTCGGTCGCGCGCGAGAATTCTTCAATTCCTCTCTCCGAATCCTCCTTCGAGCTTTAATTGCGTAATTGCTCTATTGTGAGTTGGGAGGGGCTCCGCGTGAAAGACTTTTTCGCGTCGCGTCACAAAAAAGCGCCATGTATACAGAACTTATATTGCTAATAGACAGTAAGCTGAAGATATGAACCAGTTGAAAATTATATACCATATGCATATATATCATTAATAATATGGAATAATATAAATTATTATAAATGAAGCAATAATTATAACAATATAACTGAAATTAACAATATATAACTTATATTATTAATCAACAAGTTGGCGAAATGCGTGGACTCTGATGAATGTCGAGATGATTTTTTCCCGTATAGTAAAGATTCGATTTCGCGGTTTCTAATCAATTCAACCTTATCTTTCATGCTTCGTTGGGCTGTATTGCAGAACGAACAAGTAAGTATATGTATAAAGTCGCGCAGCGAAGGACGTACATAGATGTAGATTCGAAATTTTGACATAATGCATAATCTTGGGATGAATGACACTTTCCGACGTCGTGTCATTCTGCTAACGACAGTCAAGTCTGTATACGCAATCGTTGTAGACATCGACGTAGATATTTTTCACACACGCGTTAATTTGCATAGGCAGATACGTATCCGCATTTAGATAAAATCAATAGTCCTAGCGATGGCGCAGCGCGCTGCCGAAGATATATCGCGCTACCGCGCGCTCCGATAGAACGTCGCGTGTTCTCTCTCTCTCTCTCTCTCCCTCTCGCGAGAATAACGCGAGACTTTTCCCTCGCAAAACGCGGATTTTGAAAATTGTAATATCCGCCCCATTTCTACCACCGTATTCTCCTCCCCTTGCAAACTGCAGTTACCTAATTATCGATAAAATATCCGGTTAGGTAATTATCGATAAAATATGGAATCCTAATTATTGGCGAAATATAGAACCAAAGTACCCCCATCTCGAGAGCTACCCTCTCCGTATTTTATCAATAATTGATAAAAAATGGAGCTCTCATTTTATTCTTCCTCGAGAAGCTAAATGATCCAGAGATTACATGCTTTTGATTATACAAATAGAGACAATTCTACACAAGATAAAATACCCCGCTATTTCGATCGTCAAATGGACTCGATCTAGAATCGCGATCGCGGAATAACATAACTTTTCTATTCACGGACAGGAGCAAGAGAGAGAGAGAGAGAGAGAGCGCACGAATACCGTACACTTATCGCCCGTTCGCGGTGAGCCGGGTCGATTAATCGGCGGATTCTCCAGTTTCAGAGAGCGTGTTTTCCGCGGCGGTTGGGGTCGGGATGGGCGGCTACACCTGGGGCGCTCCCACGCCCCCGCCGGGATCGCCCTACAGCCCCGTGCCCGTGACGCAGCTGGAGCTGCTGGCGAAAAACTTGGCGAACCTGGCGCCCGCGGCGGCGGGCCAGCAGGCCCTGAGTCTGCAGGGTGTCGGGGTTAACGTTGCCGGTAGCCTGCATCACGCCCAGCATACCCAGCACACTCAGCATACCCTCAACCTCACCGGGCTCCACCATCTGCATCACGGTAAGGGAACCTATTGAATCCCGGACGTGTTTGTCGCACTCGGGAAATTTCCAAGTATCGGGGAACCGCTGCACGTGCGCTAAAATTTGATAATTCCTTCCTGAAAACGAGCAAAGTGAATTTTTTTTATTTTTATACGAGAGAGGGAAATAGGCTAGTGTACTTTTGATGACACAATGGTGAAGAATATATGTTATTTTCCTCTTATTCCTACATTATCTATAATGTTATTGTGCAATTAACGCGGAAGAAGATGAAGCTATTTCGCGAGGAATTAAATATAACGGAATGTATGTAGCTCTGATTTCTCGACAGTGTTATCAAGAACGGAATGACTGCCTGCCGTTACAAATCGCGTTGCATTCATTAAATTTCCTCATCTTATATTAGTCGGAACTTAACGAATCTAATCAACGGAATCTGATAAGCGAAGCGAAGAAAATGTAACTGACATAAGTAGGATAAATTAGAATCTCTCTTTCTCTCTCTCTCTCACACATACTTATAACAAATTCATCTTTTATTTTTTTTCGCTTGTTATATATGCGGATAGTAGTTCGTACTTACAACGAATCGACAACTTGTAGCACTTTCCGGAAAAAGCATCTCTGAGAGTTTTCGAAAAAATATTGAAGCAAATTTTTCTAATGAGTTTGCTGAATCGGATCTTCCTCTCTCCCCTTGCCATCCCGAGAATTATCTTATCAGCGTAATATCAAGTCCTGCGGAAATAGCACGTAATCTGTTACTTCTCTCATGATAATTGACATCTCAGAGAATAACGTTAACGATAATTTACTTGTATTTGGCAAAAGGCGGCCTCCACCAGAACGCGTTCTCGCCCCAGCTGTCCCTGGTGACCGGCGGCGCGCCGACGTTGACCATCAACAGCTTCTCGTCACCCAACTCGGCGAGCGGGATCGCGCCGACGACGGGTGTCCTTCTGCAGGAGTACCAACCGCCGATAGGCGCGACGGCGACGACAGGATGCAACGTCACCGTCAACTCGGGCTCGTCCTGCCTGACCAACACCAGCAGCACGACCAGTGGCATGCTGGTGCACGGCGGTGGTGCCGTCCAAGCCGCCGCCGTTCAAACCACCACCGCCGCCACCACGGCCACGAAGAAGCGGGAGGCCTTTCTGCCCAGTCAAGGCCAACCGGTGAAGCTGGAGAACAAATCGACCAGGACGTCGTGCCTCTGCAGGAATAGCAATGGTACGAGTCCGTGTGGTACCCTTGATAATCGGAAGCTTCTTTTTGGACCTCTCTAATCTCCTCATTTTTTATTCACATTTCCCAGACGTCAGATTTCGATCTTTCTGAAGCTATATTTTTCGAGCTTCCAATCCTGAACAGTTCTTGAAATTCTAAAAAAAAACTCCAATCTGGAAGAGGAAACCTAGAGTTTAAATTTTCGAGATCATTATCGCGCGTCGCTCTTGAATTAGATGGAATTAGAAAAGACTCTGGATTATGAATTCGCGATTAACGATCGCGGAAACGATCGATTCCAGGAAAGACGAAGGTGGTGCATTCGGAGGTGGGTTGTAGCAGGACCTTACCTGTCGCTTCATCTTGGAACGGACAGGACAGCAATGCGGGTGCCAACAATAGCGGTGCCAATCTGACGGTGAAGAGGGAACCCTTGGCCTCGGTGCCCTGCCAAGTCGCCGAGGTTTCCACGTCTCTACACGCCACCACCACCTCCGTCAAGATCGAGCCCGTTCCACCCAAGTCCGAGAACGGTAAGTGTCCTAGAACATTAGAGAAGAGCCGATTATTCCTATTCAGAGCGATGGTTTTGGAATCAGCAGGGTGGTCAGAGTTAATTATCATAGAGATAATCGAATTTATCTTTGCTTCTTGATGTATCCAACAAGATCATCATAAGATGATATATCATCAACGACAGATGTCAGATGAAAATTATCCGCGTATCCACGTATTATTGCGCGACAATATATCACGAGAACGAATCGCGGAATCTTGGAGAAGATGAGACGCAATCTCGAATCGAAGTAATAATCGCGCGATATAAGATTGTGTGTGAGAGGTAAAAATATCTTCGGTATATCGAAGATATAATCGCGTTTCTCTCTCGACAATCATACAGATAATCGTCGGTCATTCAATGCTAACGTAGTAGAACAACCTTTCACATACATATGTGTGTTTAATACATGATATAAGATATTTTTCAAATCACGAGAGATATAATTACGTTGTCGTCAATTTACTTCGAACATCTTGTTCGAGATCGAAACGACTAATCCGAATCGATATAATCGCACGACTGGGAAATATTTGAAAAAAATATCTTGCCTAAGATATATCCAATATAAAAATAAGATACGATTACAAAGAATGAAGATAATAATTATGTTTTCCAACGAGCGCGCGAGAGAACTCGTTAATTTGCAACGAAACTCGTGACGCGCAAGCTCTTATCTGTACGAAAATACCATTCGAATCGACATAATCACATTTTTCATCGGCCACGCGGAAAATCGCTCGCTCGTCCGATTCGCGAAGGTGGCGCGACGCTTTTTTCGATAGGCGCACAACGCGTCGAGGGCGAGGGAAGAAATGCGCGATATGGCATGAGAGCACGAGAGCGAGATGATGAGGGAAAAAAAGGAAGAAGGAAAGAGAGAGACGGCGCGAGACGAGATCGCGCAAGAGGACCGGTTGGTTCGCGAGCGAGACGATGAGAGGAAAAGAACGAGAGGGCGAGAAGAGGCGAGAGAAACAGAAAAGAAAGAGAGAGAGAGAGTGAGTGAGCAAAGGCAGACAGTCTCGTTAAAGTAGGAGGTGCGTGGCACGCATGGCGACGCAAACACAAGGCGTGGTTCGAAAGAGTCTCGACCCTCTTCTCTTCTCCTGGCCGGTCCCGACACATCTCGCATCGGTTTCTCTCTCTTTCGCGTGTGCGTGATGCCCACACGTGTTACGTCATGCGAGCGTAACGCGCGTCTCGTCGAAGGCCGCCAGAGGGAGAGGTGTCGGGGAGGACGACGCACGGTGGCAGAAAGAAAAGGAGGAAGGTGAGACGAGGTGAGGAAGGGTCGAGAGAGATCCGAGACGGTGATTTAAATGAATGCACTTCCGAGTGCATCGATGAAACGCGACGCGTAAATCCTTTCTCCGAAGTAAAAATGTCGAGGCTCATCGACGAAGGGGAACGAATCGAGACGGCGATTCTGTGAAATGAATGTGTTTCGAAGTATAAATTGCCCTTTTTTCGGTAAAACGCGCGAAGAAGTGTTTGGCGAGACTTTCGTGAAAAGCCCAATCAACCGATGCAAGAAGAGGGATATTTAAACGAATGCGTATTGGATGTATAAAATATACATCCGTGAATCAAGTTTGATTGGAAATATTCTTTTTTTCTTAATCACAAACTTATAGATCGAAATCGCGACAATCCTCTCTTTTCCAATAATCTATATATATATATATATAGTTATTCGCAACGTCGATGCTTTTTTCTTCAGCAGCAGTACAATTCCTTAGATTCCTTAAATTCTTCGAAGTATAAAAACTCGGGGAAAAAACGCGACCGCAACCTTCGCAATGCTATATAAAAACGTCGAATAAAAAAATGATGTTGCGCATAATTCACAATAAAACTTCATCTCATTCACCCTATATAATCTAAAAGGGGAGGATTCTTTCCAGAAGCTGTTCAGAATCCTCCTTTCGCTGATAAATAAACTTGAGTGAACGAAACGAGAGCGACGCGTGAAATAATAAGACGAGTCTCCGAACAGTTTGCGGGCGATCTCTGACGTCTTCTCCTATATAGCGTATTCAGGGACGATTTCCTTAATCGTTTCAGGGATAGCGGTCTCGAATGCGGCTGCCGGTGGCATACCGGTCGGCATCGCTGTGGCGAGACAGCGGTTGCAACACCAGGAGACTTCGACGTCTATGCGCAACGTGTCCCTAAGTCATCACACGTCGCATCACGCGACGAGCTACCATCATTTCCAGCCGGACAGTCTGGGTAAGTGTGTCTCCGTCTCAAACTTTCTGTCTTCCTCTCCTCTGGGATTACGAAACTCTCGGGTGCTCCTGAAAACGTGAACGATTTACATTCAAACTCCTTCCGGTATATTATCGTAACGACGAAAACAAACATTCGACGAAGCAATTTGTATGAATATAACGATGCAGCGTTTATGAGAATTCTACTTTTCTTTCACAAAAAGTGGATGATATCTTTGCGGAAATATGAATTCCGTATTCATTATGAAAGCATGTCACATGTCACATCTATGAACTTATTTGTGAGATATGTAATATCTATATTTCAATAACCGCGATCGTCATGCTTTGTGAAAAGTGGATCGTGTATTTAAAGATTTATCGTGTGATTAAATATTGGTATCGAATTATACAAGACGTTTTTGTCACTTTCTCTCTCTCTTGTTCCGTTTATTCTTGCTAATCGCGTAGTGTTCGACAAGTTCGCTATCACGTTAATAACATCTTTCGCATCTTCGATATCTCACGATGCAATTTTAAAAACCTAAATAATAATTAAATGCACAAATTTGAGAAACGCGACATGATTCTTCGGATAACAATTGCGCACGAAAAAAAAAAAAAAAAATACCTTGACAACAAGTTTTTCCAGAGACATATGTATATCCCTTTTGAATATTAGCATGCAAATGTATACATATAGTGCTCTCGTAATTGCGATTACACGCAAGCTGTAATCCTGAAGCGAAAATTAAAAGAGGGCTCGCTTGGGTTTGCTGGCGTGCAAAATATCATTTGTCGTGCATGTGAACGGGTTTTAAAATCGATCGCATGATCCTTGTCGAGCTTTTTCGCGCTTAACGTCTTGGATATCGACGTGAACGAAGGAGTAATTTCGTCCATCGCATTATTTTGAGCGTAATTTATTGCGAAAGGATATCGTGCCACCATTATCGGTGCCTAGGGCTCTATCGAGAGACACGTTAGTGTCTCATGCCAAGTCACGTGCAGCAACTGCGTATATCTATACGCAAGTCCATCCAGTTGAAGGTACTTTAGATAAGCCGATCTCGGCAACGACCTGGACCATTAGAATTCTTAATAGGTTTAATAGGTTTCGATAGCCTGGGTCTACTTCGAGTATCTTCATTTTCTGTGAAAAAAATATATATATAAATACATAAAGAAAATAAAAATTATTTATTAAAAAAATGTATCTTTTCAATTGGAAATTAATTTTTCCTTTTTCATTAACGTTATTTTTTAAATAGACTTCTAGAATAGTTCATAATTAAGAATTCTAAGGGTTGTTTTATGAGGCACAAATAAATCTCCTCAAATATACAATCGCTCACCTTTACATCCCTCGACGAAGAGCTGGGGTTGAAGCTGAGACTCCGGAGTCTCGCGCTAAAACTCTCCCTTCTCGATGAATCCCTGGTGCTCGCGGTGGACGCGGATGAACCCCAGGCTGAATGAGTCCCCGTTGCAGGCTCCAGCACGGCCATGGCGGTAGGCGGCACCACCCTGGTGCACTGCGGAGGGCCTGGAGGGGAGGATCGTGCGGCCCACCTCGCTGCCATTCCCTCCGGGGCGCTCGCGCCCTCGCTGAGCCTGAATTCCAGTCTGAATTCCAGCCTGAATTCCACCCTGGGCAGCATCGGCGGCGCACCGGCGGCCGACACGGCCGCCACCGCGTGGCCGCCCACGCTGTGGCAGTATCCGGCTGCAGCGGCCGCAGGTGAGTAGTTCGAATATCATTATCAAGAATAATGAGCGACGCACGGAAGCATTCAACCTACAAACATACGATCCTTTAATAATGAGCGACACGCGGAAGCATTCAACTGCCCCTCTTTTCTACATACGAATATATGTATATTAATGATTCTTTAAAATGGATGATATATATTTAGATAAACGAAAAGGGGATGAATCTATTGTACGTCATTGTGATACCAAGTTGTATCGACCATCGTATAATGACCAGACTATTTTTTAATTTTGAAACTTTGGTAAATTATTTATGCGATGATTTATACGCAAAGTGAACATTCAAAGATAATGTATGAGTGAGAAAAGAATATCTGACTTTTCGATCAGTTTCGCAAAATATTGTTCAAATTTATGTATCTTTACAAAATATATCTCTATATAATAAAATATATTACATACTTGAATATTTATACATAAAATTCTATCAACGTTCATTAAATCTTATCTTACACTAATATTTCGATATTAATAATAATAATATTATAACAGTTTACGTTTTGTTTTAATACGTATGCCTAAATACAAGTATTAATATTGAAAATACAATAAAATGTAATACTAAAAAATAATGAAATAAAAAATACATAATATAAATAAATTTAAAAACAAAGGTATAACGAAGAAAAACCCTATAAATAAATCAAAGGATGAAACGAAAAAAAAATAGAAAGTAAAAATATACAAAAATCATAAAAATAGTTGAAAAATAAATGAAATTAAATTTATAAAAAGCACTCGCGCGACTGACAAAGTATATCGTATATACGCACAAAGAGTATATCGCATACATAATTCCTGCATAATTCGTACAACGTCGAAAATTTTTGGCGACGTAAGCGGACCACGTCGTCGGACGGGGACGAAAGTACGAATTAATTAACGTCCCGTGACGTGTATTACGCGCATCCGTCAGCGCGGGGCGATTAACCGGGCCACTAACGAGCGACCCTATACAATTTCGGATCGAATTCACCACCCCTTGTGCCACCCCGACCCACCACCACCACCATCCCCTTTTCCCGGCCCCGCTGACCGAGTGACATTTATCCTAAATAACGCGAACTGAACTACATCGCCGCCCGATCTGCCGTTTGCGCGCGCATATTTTCGCGCCGTGTAAATCATTCACGTGCATATTCGTTTTTAATTTAATTAACGTCGCTCTCGATCGAGCGTTTGAATCGAGACGAAAATGCGCGCGCGCGCGCGCCAAGACATGTACAAGAACCAAATCCTAATTTTACGCGATATTTAAATATAACGATAGCGTAGTAGTAACACATATATTATATATGCAATCTTATTTTATATCCCACCGGATCGCATATATTCGTAGACTACAGAAATATATATTCAGAATTATAACCATCATTCGGACAATACGATCTAATCCTTTGGGTCTTTTAATATCGTTCAAGTTCTCGCGCGCTCAAAGTGCATGTATTTATAAATGTGGATTAAGCGTAATTGAGCCTTCCTACCCTTTTCTCCCTCGCACACACACACACACACACACATACATATAATGAGACAATCGAAATTAATACAGCGAGTGAGGAATTAATTTGGCTTTTGTAGCGATGCCAACGGAGCCGGTAGGCTTTCCGCAAATGGGCTCCGGGCTACAGGGCGGTTTGCAGCTGGTCCGCGATCCGTCCGGGCACGTGATCCTCATCCATGCCGCGGGTAACGTAACATTCTTCAAAATGTCGATTCCCTTATCACGGAAAGGATGTGAGACTCAACTATTTTGCATTTCTCCTTCCGATAGAACAAATGCAGCAGGCCGTGGTGTGGCCTAATTATCCCAATCACAACGGTAACGTTGCGCCGCCGCCTCTTCTGCTGCCGCCTCCACCTCCCTCGATACAGCTTTTGAGCGACATCGGCGGCGCGAGGCTGGTGCTGACCGAGAACAAGAGGAAGCAGCAAAGCGCGCTTCCCATCGTCAAGATCGAGGCGGAATGCAGCAACAGTCCCACCACCATAATCAGTGAGCAGGACTTTATGTATTTTTTCCCTAGGGAGAAAGAAAAGATGTATCTTCAAAATGTCGTTTTAGCGGATGTAAACTGTAGAGAGGAAATATTTCATCAATTTTTATCTTTCGCGATGATATAATGAACATTTTTCTTACAAAGTTGAATGCAAATTATATAGATTAACAGTTATAATTAATTATAATAAACATATTACAATTATACGAATTCTTGATGATGTAAAATGCGGAAAAATATCAAATAAAAAATTGATTTTACTCAATAATTTCTGAAGAAGATAAATGGCGATAGTTGATTCGTTCAAGATATTACATTGCATTTTATACGCAGCGTCGTCCACCGAGTCGTCCAAGACGGCACTGCAGACTATGACCTCTGTGACCGGCGCCTTGGTACCGGATGCCGCCCTGGTCACCACGTTGCACTATTATCCACCGGCGCCGGCGTTGGTGCAGATCAGCCAGGCCGAGCCTACCACGCACTGCAGATCGCAGGTAGGTAGAGATCGCATTTCGCCAGAAATTTATAAACATCTAGCAATATCATCTAGAAGCGGGATATGCGCGCGCGAATTATTACGCCGGCCAGCGCAATATCTATGCAGATACCCGATGCAAATCGCGTATCCTCGATGATTAATACAATGTACCGCAACGTTTCCACATTATGCGAATGGCTGGACCGCGCCCAAAGCTTGACGTAATCACCGATGCACACCCCCATCCATCCTTCTCTCTATCTATCTCTATTTTTCCTTTCTCTCTTCCCTTCGATCCCTCAGATGTCTCTTTTCCTCTCTTCCTCTTTTTTAACTTCGCCTATAGGAAAAAATCCAACAGATTACTCTCGATGCTTTTATGAAATAATAATTAATTCATACGCGAAAGAATTTGAGATTCGGGCGACGTAAAAAAAAATGTGTGTGTGGAGATCTTCAAAATTTCCAAAATTATTCCAAAATCTGGTATAACAAATAGAAAATACTTTTTTATGAAGGCCACGTCGCCGGTTTCGTATCTGACGCCACCCCCGGAAGTGCCGGCGACGATTCGCGCCATCGAGCCGCCGTCGTTCGGTGTCCAGGACGCCTCGAATCAAACGGATGCGCCCGAGGATGCCGAAGATCTGAAACAGGAATCGCTCGTTAAGCAGGAGCAGAATCCAAGTCCCTGCCAGGTCGCATCCCAGTCGAATCTGGGAAATTTCGAGATCGCGGCACCGCCTCCGTCGACGGAGAGAATCTGCAACGTCGTCAGAATCACGACGACCACAACTACGATGAATCCGACCGTCTGCGGCATCGTCGCCAAGGTGGATAAAGCGGAAAACACGATCATCAACATGGCCGATTGCGCCAAGTACTCGGCCAAGGACGGTAGAGCGATCGTCAAGGCGATCGAGCCCGACGCTGCTCGGACTGACGAGGAGATCTGCAGGGATGACAAAACATCCATCTGTAACAGCAGGGCCGGCAGGATCGGCGCTAGAATCATCGAGATCACGGAAGAGAACTGCGACAGCTTCCACGAGAATCTAGAGTTCTTCGCGAGGAGGAGAGACATCAGTGTGGATCAACGCGAACGTCACGATAGTTATCCCAATGATGAAGAGAACGTTGCGCAAGAGTCCAAGGTTCATGAAAAGATAGAGGTAAAACTTTGGTCATTATCCAAAGTTTCTTAATCTTAACAAATATAAATGACTTTCTCTTGAAAAGAATTTATTAGAGTTTTTCTTTGTTCAATTAATATAAAGTAGAGCAAAGTTTCTCTTCTAAAGTTGTTACTCGACTAATTTTACCCTCAAATATTTCGATTTTATAATGATTTAACGTTTCGAATCAAAATCAGATACGCATCTCATCGCTTTTATCTTATCTTATAGTATATTTTTAGTATATCTTTTTTTATAGTATATCTTTAGTACATCTTTAACATTTATCTAGAGATCTAAAGATATCTTTTAGTATATTATTCAGAATTATTGCATACCTTTCAGGTCGAGTCAAAGATTATCGACACTTCGGAAAATGTCGAAATTCGCCGTCAAATGTGCACCAAAACATCGGAGCCGCCAATCTTCAACGGATCCAAGTTAAACACTGTCGATTCCACAGAATCGTCGAGAATCAATTGCGACAGTAGCGACAAAAACGTCACAAAGGACACTTCGAACGGTGAAATACGGCCTCAGATCACTGTAAAGTCCTTCGACATGCCCAATATCGATTGCGATGATCAGGAGATCGCGCCACAGGTGGTCGTCAAACAGGAGGCCGACGAGAGCTGCTACGAGGTGTGCTACGAGCCGTCCCGATGCGAGCCGACGTCCACCAGCGAGAGATCCAGGCTATCTAGCTGCGAGAAATTATCACCGGAGGCGACGAAGAAGCACGCGTTGGAGAAATCCCATCATCCAGGTATCGAGAACGTGGTGGAGAAGCTGAAGAAGAACGCGGCGGCGCTGCAGGAGGCGGCGGCGCTACCCGCCGTGCAAAAGTTCGACGAGTCCACGGAGAGATCCAACGCGGAAAGCGTCAAATCGCGCAGACATTCCGAGACGATCCCGAAGAAGCTGCATTTCTTGAGATCGTGCCAAAATTCCCTGGAGGGTAGCGTCGAGGTCTCCTCCTCTTCGCAATCCACGACGTCGGAGCGGCACGTTCAGGACCAATCAGGACAGTATGCGTCATCGATAAAGGATGACAGGCACAATGATGATGGCGGCAGATCGTGTAATATATCCGGCGAGACTTGCCTGCTCGGTGACAACAACAACGACAGTAGGAGTAACAACAACAACATCAAGGCACTCGAAGACAAGAAACTGTTCGCTAAAAACGAAAAGAACATTTGCGAAGTCACCGCCTATGTCAAACCCAAGACCGTTTGGCGCTGTGAGGTGCAGCCAATCGAAAAGCCTCAGACAGCTTGCAAGCTCGAGGACGCGTTCTCGGAGACGAAATCCAGAATCGAAAGCCAGCAAAAGCCGCCCATTGACCTAAGCGGTCTCGAGTTATTGTCGAACAGCATCGACCAATTGGAACGAGTCGGTCAACCGGAACAACCGCAACCGGATACGGAACCGGCCGAAAAGTCATCTGTTAGAGGCAAGCTGATGAGTCAGCAGAGCGAGAATAATAATAATAACGTCGGCAGTCCTCTTGGTTTACTCTGTGCGTTAGCCGAACAGATTATGGAGGTGGCCGACAAAGCTCCCCGGAAGCTGAATCTGGAAAGTTCGGAGGAGATCTCACAGGCTGGTAGGTTACTGTTGAATCTGGGCAGAGGTCCAGATTATCCCGAGCAAGATGGAAGCAAGAGAAAGTATCCTGAAGGCGACGATTCCCATCATTCCAAACGATCCAAGCTCAATAATCACGAAGAACAGACTAGTAAGAATGCATCGTCACCGAATCATTACGACGAAATTATCGAGAACAGGACGGGAAAACAGCAGGAGGAGCTCACGCTTCGAAGGAGGTCGAAAGAAGTTAGTAAAGACGTCGCCAAAGATAGGACCACGGAAATTATGAGGAAACAGCAGGAAGAGGCACTTCCAAAATCGAAGGGGAGCATCAAGTGTGATACTTCCCTAGCGAAAGGCAAGATAACGGAAGCTGCAGGAAAGCAGCAAGAAAGAATCCCTCTGAAATTAAGAGACATTAAACGCACCCTTGACTTTTCCGAAGAGGAAATTCATAGCGCGAATAAAAAAGTCAGTAATTTGGAAGATCAGTCTCTCGATAGGGATTATTACTCCAATCAACGTGGCACAAAGCATATTAAAGATCTCCAAGTTTCCTCAGACGAAACATTCGGCAATTCGCAAAATAATGGTGTCCATAATGATAAGATTGGCAAAGAAAATGATTTTTCAGAAGGTGAAGTATTCGAGTCGAAGATTCTTCCTGATCAGTCAGCGAGCTGCGACATTGAAAATCGCAAGGTATTCGTCGAAGAGAGAGACAGCCATGATTACAAAAATGCACGGATGAAATTAGAGACGAAGAAGTTCATTACCAAAAAGGGAAGTTGTGAAAATGATGATGATGACTGGCCAAACATGAATGCTACCGAGTTGGACATGAGAGTCCGGATGGCCGACATCCAAAGGCAGTACAGGGAAAAGCAGAAAGAGCTCTCCAAGCTGATCCCCAAGAAGGACGAAAAGAAGAACTTTAGCAGGCCGCGGAAGAAGAGTCATTCTTCCACCAGGTGAGTGCGAATTACTTTTAATATAGCAGCATTCTTTATCTGCATCATCCTGTACAGAAGAGATAATTGTGAAGTACCAATTATCGCTTGCAGTAAATTTAATAAAAATTTTAGACGTACCTGACAATGAACTTCTTCAACTCCAAAAACCGATTAATTAAACTGTCAAGTTAGATGTAATAATTTTGATATTCCGGACGTGACTAATTCAATTATCGATCGATTTCTGCAGTTCCGAGCATGGAATATTATCGCCGCCGCCTGCGTTGGATTCTATGAACTCCCCGTTGCAAAAATCACCATCAAGGTCATCGGAATCGCTGGACGATAGTGCACCTCCACCGTTGGCCTCGGCCGTCCTGGCTATGCCAAAATGCAACGTGAATCTGGTAAAACTCGGCGAGCCCAGAAGCCACATAAAGCTTCTGGATAGCATCCCTAGCATCCCAATATCTGTACCGGTGACATCGCCGATCCCTGGTTCGAGCAAAGCGGCACCAGAGGATGACGAAAAAAGTACAGGAATGGTACGTAGATTAATACAGATTTTTTTTGTAAACAATTTTGGATAATTTTAATTAGATAATTATAATCTCTAGATAATTATCTTCTGTATAATTTTATTTATAAATGTGAGAAGATTGGGATACATAATTTTAACGCTTATACAAGTGTATATGCATCATGACGGATACATAATAATATTGATTGGAAAAATATATAGTATCGAAAATAAAAAGAGATAGAAGTGGAAAAGAGAGAAGAAAGAAAATGACAGATAACAGCTATCGAGGATATTGCATTAATTTACGCTTAAACGTGCTAAATGACAAGTGAAAAAAAGTCTATTGGATCGGAAAACTCATTTGCTGTTTGTAATCGATTTTTCTAAATTTGAATGTCTCTTATAAAACACATAAATGTGCAATTTTTTTTTAAATAGTAATGTTTTTTTGACAATTTTTTTTAGTGGAATTAAAATTTAATCTGTTTCAAAAGTTTTCAAATACATGCAATGTGTTTGTTTAATGATTTATATAGAAATAAGCAATCCACAACAATAAATAAACAAATATACATGTATGTATTTTATATAATATTGCGGGATATTTAATAAAATCGGTAAATATAAAGTGATATCTCATAACAAGAATAAATATTGGTTCCCCAAATAGAAACTAGCTCGTTGGAAAACCTGCTCCATTAAAACACGATAATTAGCCATAGGAATATCAGTTGCGACTTGACTAGTATACGATATAATTTTGGAACACAATTTTACAAGGAATACAAATCCAAGATTCTTAAATAGAGATCGTCTTCATCGCGAGATAAATATAATTATCGAAGCATATCAACAGCAATCAACTGAGAAAGTCAAGAATAATAATACCAACTATTTATTTATAGGTGAGTTACGATACATCATCACCTGCACCAACTGTCGCGAGCTTGAGCTCCGCTTCCAAGAAGAGAAAAGTAGGACGACCGAGGAAGCTGACGTGCACGTCGGGCAACGCCAGGCACTTGACGGAGACGATTGTCGCCAAGAAACCCAAGAGCAAGAGTTCTCTAGTGGGTTACGTGCTGTCTTCAAAGAGTAGACATCTACAAACCAAAGTAAGAAGACTTATTTTAATAAATTTGCATTAGAGCGTAATTTTTCCCTATATATCCTAACGTTCTCCAAACATACATACACATTATTCATCTTATAAAGCTACTGATTTATTTCATACACGATTATTTTTTCGTCTTCAGCAATGCATAAACAGTAAGACCGGCTATACACCGTTGCCGTTCAAGTCTTCTTCTGGAGTGTCTCTTCCGAAGACGCAATCTAAGACACAAAAAGTCACGAAAACGAAGGCAAAGCCGGCGAAGCAGACTCCGCTGCACAACAAAAACGTGATTAGCTCGATTATCGCCGAGAAAGCGAAGCTGAGCCAAGAAATGAAGCTTGAGAAGCATGGCAGTAAAGTGAAACCGAAGCTAAAAGCGGAGGTAAAGGTGAAAAATTGGGAGGATGACGAAAACGATGCGGTACCATCCGAAAACGTTCCACCCGAAGAACCCGTCATTCAAAAACTCGTCGAGGTACTGAAATCGTCATTATGTTTTGTCCTTGAAACTCACTTTTACACTGAAGATTCACAGCATACATATTCAAAAGACGTTCAAAGATATCCCGAAGATATTTATCGCCTAAAGATATCTTTAGGATATCTTCTGCCTTTTGGATATGCATGCTGTGTGGATACTCTATAAAAGTTAAATTAAAATTTAAAAGAAATATTTTTTACAAAATTATTCCTGATTTGAAAATACCGATTTTTTTTTAAATAGAAGAAATAGACGAATTAAAAGAAATTATCAAGTAACTTATGCAATTCTCAAGTTAATCATATAGTCTAGGATTTTTTAAAATTTAGCAAATGAAAGATAAATTTTGCTCGCATATTAGGAAACGTCGGTGGTGGAGCCGTCGATAGAGCCTCCAGCGGAGCAGCCATCGGAGAAAGAGCCGGAAAAACCGCGCCACGACAAGTCGAAGAAGAAGAAGCGAAAGTCCAGTTCGTCGCAGTCGCCGAGCCACGACCGGAAGGAATCCAAGCGTCGCAGATCCCTGGAGTGCAAGCAGTGCGCCGCCGCCGCCGCAGTCGCGAGAACCAGTGAGACAAGTATCATCAACAAGTGCAAGCTGACGGCCGCGCATCTGACCATCGATCAGCTGCGCGTCCTCATGGCGATCGGCGGCCTCTTCTACGCGGGCAGACTCAGTGCCGTCCAGGCGCCGGATGTTTACGCCATCACGCTGGATGGTGAACGGGGAAACAGGCCGCATATTCACTCCCGAGAAGAGATCCTGAGAGATGCGGTAATCATAGATAATAATGCGATACGCGGAACTTGACACATTCATCCCCAATATGAAAATGGCTCAATTATTGTATAATAATTCCATCACTGAAGGAAGGAATTTCACAATGATTGCATTAAACGTTTTCCCATAATGCGATTTTATCAAAATTTTCTAAATGATTTTGCCTAAAAATTGATTTATTTAATTTAGAGTATGAATTATGCACAATTATTGTGTTATACTTATTATAAATATTGTATAATACTTCATGTTATAACATTTAAAAATTATAAATTCAGAATAATTGTGCATTTTTTGAGCATATTTATTCATTTTATTTCATAAAATATTTTTAGAATAATAAAACTTAATATATTTAATAATTTTTTTCAAATTTAATTTTGCAAATATTTCAGCAAGATAATTTGCCATAATGCTACTTTGTTTTGCTGAAATATTATGCTAGAAATAAATTGTGCAAATATTTTTACATATTTGCTCAAAAGTTTAAATTTTTATTTCTATTGTTTTAAATATAAATATATAATTGCAACATTTAAAATTTTATTCGTCATATAATTTTACAAATATTTTCTTATCGGGGATGTGCAATCATGAATATTTCCATATACGCATTCATAAAACTTGCCTTCAAAATCTAGAAAATATTGGTAAGATTATAATGAACAACTTAATAAAAGATAATATTATGCACTATCCAACTAATGATTACAATTCATACACTCTTTTCATTAATTTTATTTTCTCTTGAAAACAATATAATTATTGAAAAAAGTCCTATATTTGTTATTTGTTTCTTTACAATAAATTACCTTTCCTTCATTTATCGAACACCCAGTATACAATATATTTATTTATTTTTTAAGCATTATTTGACCTCTGTTTCGAAAATCGTGACAAGACAAACAGGAAAAGGGAAAAAAGAAATATGACTTTTGTTGATAGTTTACTTTCGAAGAATAAGAACGTTTTTCGTTTATTCGGCAGATCGTGGAAGTGTGTCCGACCTCGACGAAAGAGCTACCACCTGGTACAAGATTGTGTGCGTATTGGAGTCAACAGTACAGATGCTTGTATCCGGGAACCTCCGTGGAGCCCATCGTACCTGATCCGGTGCACGATGAGAAATACGTCACCGTGGAATTTGACGACGGAGACAGCGGTAGCATCATCTTGGACGACATCAGATTATTGCAGCCCAATTATCCTCTCGTAGGCAAGTGTCATATAATAATAGCGATAGGCACTTTATGCTTTGAGCATAATAGCATAACGTGTCAAAAATTGTTTACTTTAATATGTATTAAGTGTTTAATTTAATATATATATATATATATAATATTAACATAATATAATATTAAGTGTGTACTATACATAACTATTAAAATTAATGCTTAAAGACAATTTTAGCATAAAGTACCTATCCCTAATAATACATGTATACTTTTGTTGGCTCGAACCAATGTAAACATTCGAATTGTATTTATTTATCTCTGTCACTTTGCAGAATACGATCCGAATCCTCTTCTTTCATTGGGCAAACGACGGCGACAAATGTCCTCTTCGGAAGATAAACGTTCCTCCAGCAATCAAACCGTTTCAATGAACGCAGCAGCAGACAACGATAATTTCGCGATGTATTCCAACGTAAAGGAATCCGTAATGAATACCAGCAGTGAAACCAACGACCCGGAGGTCGATACGATCGAAAGTACGAGTAGTGCGAGCAGCACGGAGTACTTCAGGAAAAAGCATATGAAGAAAATAAAGAAAATGAAGCGGTTGCTCGAATCGCAAGAGGGGAAGAAGCACAGGAAACACAGGTCCCACAAGGAGCACCGTAAGCATAAACATAGGAAACATCGAAAGCATAAGCACAGACATCACAGCAGCTTTGGTGACACGAGTAGCATGAGGTAGGTTTACGAAATGTTCATCCAGTATACAATATTTATATAAATTGTAGATTTTAATAATCACGCTGCATTCACTCTCTACGAGCAAAAATAAAAAAAAGATCTTGTAAATATAATTCCGTATAGACGGTTTATTAAAGCTTCTAAAAGTTTGATCGTTAAAATTTACGAGAAACTTTGTACACGTAACTTATACTTGGTCCAACTATTGAGAAGATAGAGAAGAATTTTTTAAAAGATTTAAAAATATTTAAGCACTTGAAAAGTATAAAAGTTTATGATGAGATTCAAGTTCATAATTATGATACTTGTTGTAATATTTATTTTTAAATTGTATCTAAAAAGAACGCTTTAACCAACTTTATGGCACTCTTTTATCATCATTTTCTAAATGTTAAAATATCTCTACAGCAACTGGGAAACCAGTCAGGAGCAAAGGAACGAGGATAAAGCGATGAACGCAGACTTCTCGAGTACATCCGGTACAACTTATCCCGCCGTCAAGGAGACAACGAGATTATTCGAGAAGGATGACGAGACTGAAAGCTCGTTAATGACCATTCAGGAAGACGATGAGACTCAAGCAGAATCTGAGGAGCCGTCAGATCCAATCCAAAAGAACGACCTGGTTTATGAAATAGTCTCCAAACCGCCGCCAGAATCGGTCATCCAACAGGCTCGATTAAAATCCGAGGAACCGTCGTCGGAAGAGTGTCCGGACACTGAAGAATCGTCGGAGGATGTCCAGGCAAACAGCCAATCATCAGATACCCAGGAGGATACAGAATCGTCGGAGGATGTCCAGGCAAATAGCCAATCATCAGATCGCCAGGAGGATACAGAACCGTCAGAAGAAACCTCAGAAGAAACCTCAGAAGAACCGTCAGAAGAAACCTCAGAAGAACCGTCAGAAGAACCGTCAGAAGAACCATCAGAAGAACCAGCAGAAGAACCATCAGAAAAACTGTCAGAAGAACCATCTCCGAAGAAGATGCGGAAGACAACGATAAAGCGCCCGCAACGCGCCAACGTGTCTAAAGTCCGCTCCAAGATAGGTCGCGCCAAAATGAATCGCGCCTCCAAGACGGATTGCATCCCGACAACTTCCGCGACGACGAGAAACAGAGCCTCGACGACAGTTCCCGCTTTGACGAATGGCTGGAAACGTGCCTCGAAGACTCGCGCCGTCGTTCAAGCGAATCTTGCCGCCCCGTTGAATGCTGTCGAGACGCCCAGTCCGATAGCCCGCATGTTGCCCAACAAACGTCATTGGAAATGGGCAAGCAAGCCTCGCGTATTAGGCGGAAATCAATTTTTCCGATGCATAGAACGCGGCAAAGAGAAGATAAAGATAGGCGATAGCGTGCTATTTTATTCCTATCGAAAGCCACATGAGAAACCTTATATCGGCAAGATCTCGTCGCTGTGGTTGAATCAGAAATCGGAGATGAGAGTCAAATCTAAATGGTTTTATCGTCCCGAAGAGCTGCAAGAACCTTGCACCCTGGATCCTCCGGTAATTGTTTTCATGTGATATCTATATCTAAATAAAATCACTAGGAATAAGAAGATTAAGAAACGTTGTTTTAAAATCCGATCTGCAGTCATATCAAGTCATGATGTAAAGGCTAAAGAAATATCACATAAATTTTACTTTCTTACTTTTTTTTTTACATTAGACATGTATGAAAATAAATTCTCTCGTGTTTGATATGACTGTATTTGTCGAAGGTTTGCAAAATTCAAATAATAAGTGTCAATTTGTTTGCGCAGGGGGGTCTATTCGCATCGAAGCATGAAGATTCGAACGACGTGCAGACGATTTCACACAAGGTGATGGTGTTACCGCTCGAGAAATATAAAAAAATACTGCAAACAGAGAGGAGACGAGGATACGACGACAACGATCCTTATTATTACAACGCTGGTAGCTACTCGCATCCAACGGTGACCTACGCACCTGGAGTCACAGCTATTCCACTCCAAGAATGAGAACCGCTTAAGCTGACGATTAAGTTAAGCAAGATTACTTAATCGCGGTCAGCCAACGACAACTCTCTGCGAAATTTTCTAAAACAAAGAAAAAGAGATAAACTTTGTAAGCTTATGCTGACAAGAGAAAACATAGGCGATAATATTTTTCTTCCCATTACATTTTATTGCGAGAGCGCTGGTCAGATTTAAATTCACAAGGCACAAGCATTACTTTATTCACGAGGATACTTGGACGATTAAATTGTCCGTCAGATGACAAATCCATTCTACTCGAACTAGTGTCCTAACTTTCACCGATTTAACATTAGTTGTATCATACATTTTGTGTTCATTTTTCTCGTAAAATACTCTACTGTAGCTGTGTAAAAAGGTATCTTTAATTGTCGCGATACATAGGAGACGAAAAAATCCCACGATGAAAACTGAATAAGATCATTTCAAGAACATGTATATAATATTGTTGCTGAATGCGCGCGACAAGTTCGATATAAATCTCGACAAACTTTATAGCCTGTAACTCTTTCGACCTAACAACTTCATAACAAGCAATACTTGTGCCTTGTCAAAAAGAAAAAAAAATTTCTCATTGAATGCGGTTCGACTACCGTTCATTCGATTTCTACGAATCATAATTGCGCTTACATTTTGCGAGCGGGCGAGAGAAGGAGGATATGAGCAAAAAGAAAAAAAGAAAAAGTGGATCGATGCAATAATCACACCAAGTGGCATTAAACGTGGAAGTGATCGAGAATAAGAATTTATTTAGTGTACATATTTTTTGTAAATACGACTTTAAGAACGTGTGTTTAATCCTTGCGCGCACACGACTGGTTGACGTAAAACCGAAATGTTAAAGCGAAAAAGCGAATTAGATTTGAGTTTATATACAGCTTATAAATTTTAAGCCGTAAGCTAATGACCTGAGTAAGATATGCTGACGAACGTTAACCCGAAAAAGGAGAAAGCGCATACACGTACATTTTCACGCTCGAATGTTCCAAATTTTTTTTCTTTTATTAACTATTAATAACGTAACGACGCACGCGAATGTACGATAAACGAGATAACATAGATTCGCTGAAACGAAAAACGCAGATGACATTCTTTGAGGACACAGCTTATAGAGAATTAGCGATTTGTTGTAATTAATATGACACGTCATATATTTTAATAATCGTTAATGTTTATTTGACTTACATGTAAATCAAATAAACATTTGCATATTTTGCAGCCGAATATTACATTTGAAATGTCGCAAAGCATAAAGAAATGAATAGCGAAATTAATTCTATCCAAGCTCTCGTAGAAAAATCAATTATGTAAATGACTTAGCTGGTTGCAAATAAAGTTTGAAAAATTGTCCGAGCGATATGAAAGGTCGTTTACGCCGACGAATGCTAAATTAAAGAAACGGGGTTTTCTTGATGAAGCTTAACGAGAGACGTTAAAAAGGAAAACTTACGCAATACCGTAATAAATTGATAACGTAAATGAGAGGCTTCTCTCTTCGAAGAGATAAGTGTGGCATTCGCTGTCTCTTCGATGAGAATTTGTACGATTTGATATCGAGAAATTTCAATTTATAATCTCCAATAATCTAATAGTTTTTTAGCTTCGATTTTTCTCTAAAGTAAAAACGGAGTTTGATCCACTTTATATCGTTTAACTGCTTTTCGTCGACCTGCGAGCTATTTATATGCTGTGACATAATAAAATATATTATTCGTTGCATTTTTATTTGCCATTTGTTATAGTTTCTAGTTTCTATGCGCATCCATGCTTTATCTCGAATCTTTCATGAGCTTTCGTTCCTTTGACGCTTTTATCTAATGTTCAAGATATAGAAGGAAAAAGTTACAATTATTTCATTTCTCCACAAGATCAAGTCACTGTAGAATTGTATAGTTTTGAGATTATAATTTTTAACATTCACACATTTGTTCGATTGTGGCTTAAATTTCAGACTCGAAGACTAGAAGTCTCCGGAATAATCCTCGAAAATGTACTTATTAAGGGAACTCGTGACACGTGAATTAGCGGTTTTTTGTCTGATGCGATTGTGAGATTATAGCCGAACGATGCGATTTATAGGTCGTACAAAAAGAATAAGAGAAAATTCGTTTGTTTTGAATGTATTTTGTTGTATTTAAATAATTCAAACCGTAAGTTAATTACGTATTTAGTAAATCATTTTCTCGCATAAACTCCAAGTAATGCGTGTCACGAGTTCCTTTTTTGTTTAGATTAATTATTAAGGCATTACCTCCCTCGTACTATTTCGCTTATCTAATTTAGCTTAGTAATATGTTCGTTTTTTTATAATACTTATATATAATATTATATAAATCATATAATAATGTATATACAATATTATTATTATGTATATATATATATATATGTATATATATATAATATTATATGTATATATATCATATTATGTATATATATAATATTATTATTATGTATATATATATGTATATATATATATAATATTATATGTATATATATCATATTATGTGTATATATAATATTATATGTATACCTACGAAACAAAAATCGTTGACACGCATACTTTATAAACGTAGTGATGTGACATAAGGTGCTGTATATCGATAGCTATATGTAGATACCGATAGACTTTGGCCGATTTATAAAAATAATTTTTCAAGTCACGTTTCTATTTTCTTTTCTTTCTTGCGACAAATTGTAAAAAAACGGATTAACCAGAGATTATTTTTTTTTATTTGCGTGCAGCATATTGCGTTTGGCAACCAAAATGGCGAGAGATAAATAAGTATCCTAGTGTATTTTTCTAAAAATTATTTTGATATATGAGCTCTTAATAAACTAGGAGCGTTAAATCATGATTATCGTTTACAGAGCAAGCTTATTCCATAAATTGTTAAATGAATTAGAAGAAGTAAAACATTAAGTGAGGATTTGATTTTTATATATTTATAGTTATCAATAGTTTATTCGAAGTTACGTTTTGTTATATTTAGGTTTTTGCAATCTAACTCTAACTTCAGTAGACAAACTCGATAAACTAGTAAAGAGACTAAAAAAACAGACTACAGAGGGTCAGACATTAAATTCAGATGCAAATTATTTATCTTTAAAGATTTAAGAAATTTATTTAATGTCATTTCTCAAGCTAATCTCGATCTTTTTTTGGATCATTTTATTTAGTCACTATCAATAGAATATTACGTGTCATATAAAAGAGTGATGCAAAATTGAGCATTAATAGGAATATATGTATATGCAAGCTTAAAAGTAATACGTGCGTTTTTACGTCTAAAGAATCCCAGCGACTTTAACAAGAAAAAATTGCAAGTCTCCTACTGAATGCCAACCAGTAAAAAGGGTTTATAGGTGGTGGTTTGGAATAATTCTTAACTGATTAAATGCAGACAGCTCTCGTGAACCGCAAAGAAATTCATAAAGTCGATTAAGATAAATGAAACATGAACAATGAAAAAAAGGAACTCAGCAGAAAGAAATCGTGAGAGAATAACAAAGAAATTGAAAAATTGATTGTCAACTGTCAACCGAATATTCGTTTTAATAGAACAGGTCAATAGTACAGATATTATGTATAAACATCATATGTAGCTAGCTGCCCCGCGCAGACATAGATGAAAAAAAATGACGTAAGCAAGCGCGATGATTTTAGAAAATAATTTTAGAAAAGCTATCAACGAGAAATCGATGTGGTAGTATATATACATATATATACATATATATATATATATATATATATATATATATATATATATATTGCAAGCGATATCGCTTTAAAAAGGTTGAGACTGCTTTTTTGTCGGTGAATAACATTTTTCGAGATTATTTCAGAGTACGAGAGATATAGAAAAGTACAATTCTTCTCTAACGATAATAATAGAATCGCTGCAAAGGGTAAGCTTGGATCGTAGTATTTCTCACCTGAGCAATCGAAATTAGAGACTCCCTTGTAGGTGCTAACTTTTAAGGCAAGCGAGAAATTTCTAGGGTAACTTTAAACGACCCTTCAGGCAGTTGATTGTTTTTTTTTTAAGAGCGAAAAAGTGAGAATTTGTATATACAAAGTAACGATACGGTACTACAAATTTTTCCTGTCGCGGTCTTTTGATGATATTTTAAAGAGATAAGAGTTAATTGAGACAATTTACGCGATCGATTGTGCGAAAGGAAGGAAATTTTTCTGAAGACCTCTGAGGAAATTTTATCGAAAAATTTCGCGTATGATTCGAGAAAGTAGGGCGTTTTTTTTCCTTCTGAATAAAGGAGGCAAAACCGCGAAAATTTTTGAAACTTCTTTCTGTAGCGCGTATCATAATCTCGACAAATTGTCGCATATATGACTGTATGCACTATTGTACATACATATACAGAATTTAGTGCGTAGAGAGTCTTTCGAAAATTTAACTGGCATAGCAGTACATGCGAAGTACAAATTGAAAACACAATAAATGCGCGAGCGAATCATCGATCGATGATCGAGAAAAAGAGATAAAAAAAAAGAGGTACTTATATATGCGCGCGTAAAACGGCGCACGTATGTGTGTGTGTGTGTATGCGTGAGTGCGGCTTTGTTTCTTTTTCATGTAAATATACAAATATATAGGGTGCTATCTGACGTGTACATAATAAAATGTAGCACGTATTCTTGCGCCGCGTCGCTTCTCTAAAGATTATTTTTGAACGATCGACACACACAACTGATCCATTGTATAGGTTACACGATTCAATCATGTAGTACGTAAAAGAAAAAGGGAAAAAAATATATACGTGTGTATAATATATAGTATTTTTTCATAAGAATCGCAAAAAGATTTAAAAACACGAGACGGCAACGAGAGAGAGAGGATAAGTAACTCCCTCTTTCGGCCGGGCTCTTTAAATATTCGATTATATATAAAACGAAAAATTTTAAGATCGTTGCTTCGGCGAGCTTCCACGGGCGATTACCGGATGTCTGGACACAGAGTGTTGGACGTAATCAGGCCTTATCGAGAAAAATCTCTCACGATAGGAACACGTTGGTCCTTGTGGAAACACCGAGATCGTCCTTCCCCAAGTAACAAGCATACGTCATTTTGATGTTTAATGACGTCAGTTCGCTACTTCGGGTCTCGCACAGAAATGTTTCTTAGTTTAGACCTTAGCCTCGGCAAAAATGTCGCGGAGTAAATTAAATCTCCGTCTTTTATCTCGCGGAAAAATTTTGCTAAAATGCTCGAATATTTATGTTGCCGCGAATAAACGCTGCTGAAAATTTATACGTCTGGTAACAAATGTTTTGTGTGTGTAAGAGAGGAGAGAGCCAGAGTATAGTCCATGATTTATATCTGCGTGCGGCTGATACTAGAGATACTAGAAATGTCGTCGAGAAAGAACCACCCTGGATGTAACTGCGGGAGGGTGTCTGATAAAAAATAAATAGAAAGATTTGGAAGCAGCTGCGCAAAGGTCTATTTTCCGCAATAAGAACCGATGAAAGGAGCTCGGTGTTCTTCAAGGGACCAACAGACGACATGTGAATGAATTATGTACGGCACCTTCTCTGCAATGCAAGAAAAAGAGGAGTCGCAATTCTTTAACACGCTTGTAGTGATATATACATGTATTATATATATAGCGCCGATATAATATTATTAATTACAATTAAAAACGACGTTGATCGCGCACAAATATATAGTTAATAATATTATATCAATAATATACAGGGTGTAACTAGATAAGTGCGACAATTTTAGGAGATGATTCTTTGTCGAAAATTAAGGGGGAGGTTTCTTATATCCCTCCCTGAGAAATTACACTTTTCTAAAGAGGGAGATAAACATTTTTTTTTTTTAAATTTCAGACAAATTAAAATAATGATTAATATTTTTTTTATCTTTCCGCATCGTTATAAGGGGATGAAACCAACAATCCCTATTTAATTTTTAGTATATATTTGTATAAGAAACCTTCCTTAATTTTCGACGAAGAATCTCCTCGACAAGAAAATTTGTCGCACTTATTTAGACACACATTTAAACCTGTATATATATTTCGTATAGTAGTACTATAAATACACCCGTTATATAGTATATATATTCTGAATATATATTATATATTTTTATTGTGTGTATAACTACAATAAATTGCTATACGATTATTAATTCAATTCTCTGATCGCGTAATTCATCCAATTAACGATCAACGACGAGTCAACATTGGATACCACGCACTCGAAATTATTGTGAAAATGTGGAAACTCTGTGTCCATCACTGGTCTAGCCCCTTTGATGTGGATTCCCTGCTGCATCCGCGAACGTTACATTAGAGACTTTAGCCGCGTTCGCTCTTCGTAGAGCTCTTCTGTAAATATGTACTTAGAGAGAAAGAGAGAAAACGAGAGATATCGATGTTCTTCGATGTTCTTTCCGCACGACGCGAGTATTAATTCATCGACAGGATCCTCCCCCTATCTCGTTGTATTTTTCAGGCCGAAAGAGGGAGATGGGGGAGAGATCGACGCACTAATGTATCTTCAAATATCGACGTTTCGCGGCCGCATCCCTCTTATCTCGGGTTTTGGGATCGAGCGGTGATGGGAATCCGAAAAAAAAAGAGAGAGAGAAAAAAACCGATCCGAAACGAAATTTCGTTATCGACAAACAGTTACGGTACGCAATCGCGCGTTTACTTTTGGAAACTGCAATTAATTACGTCCACGATTCGCGGGTAAAATTGTTATTTCACAATTCCTCCCCGAATGATTCCCCGATTTCGCTAAATTGGGCGGCGAAACTTCTTGAAATTGCAATAACCGCGTGCATGGTTTACTTAATCAATTTTTCCCCTTCCCTGCTTTTACAATTTTCTACTTTTTTTTTTACGATAAATAGAATTTTCTCTTAAAGTTTACCTTGAAAATCACGGTA